AGCTTTCATGCTTTGATGGTCAATATTACTACTTGTTCATGTTCTTCAAATAAACTGATGGAGGTATTGTAATCGCGAAAAAAATTGATCTTGAGATGTTATGTTTCTTGGATGCTATATGACATGTATCGGTCCAGTGACAGCGGAGAAAAATGCCAACAACGAACAAAAATCGCTCGATGTTCGGTTTTTGACGTTTCAGACGATACTGCAAGGGTTGAAATTCAGGAGATGAGGGTTATAGATGGAGGGGAGGGTACATGATAATTTTTTAATCTTGGTATATTTATACGCTTCCAACTCAGGTAATTCTAGGCACCTATTAGCCATATGGGGCATGTCATTGTTATTATTATTATTTTTATCATCTTATTTATTATTATTATTATTATTTTATTTCACACATCATACATTTCCAGGTAGATTTGTCTTTAAAATTTAGGATGATAGAGAAATGTTTTAGATTCGCGTACCCTGCTACCTAAGCTCACGGTCCGGCGAACCGGTCTGGTTGACTAATCTATCCGTACTGCCGCACAAAAATCATATACATGACCATGTCCAAACAATAATTCGCTGCAGGGATGCCGCATAGGGGTGGAAAGGGACGACGTTGCCAGATGGACAGTAACTTCCGGTGGGACAGGAAAAGAATGTCTATGGACTGATTGTAAGGTCCTGTTTGACTGACTTAATCCATTCAATTTCTATGTTGTACATGTTCGTAACTGACTTTTTCCCTCATCGTTTGTGAACTGATAACAGCATTGCTTAGAAAGTGCGGTGTCAACCTGCTTGACGCCATTTTTCAAGTAGATCTTACGATTTTTTTGCGTGGAACATTCTGTTCCAATAAAATCTGCCGGTGGCTAGACCCGCGACAACAGGTTTGTTTTGTCTGATTGATTTCTTCTGTTTCTCGTCAGGAGCGAAGACAACAGTTGAGGCAGCAACTGCTCAGACATGTTAGAAGTACTCTGAGTCAAACGCCGGAAAAAAATTGTGGTTCGTATCTTCGCTAGCACATCATGTTTCAATCATCTGCACAATTATACATCAGACCCTGCGTGAAGGTTATTGATGTGGAGTAGATAAAAGGTTGTAGCCAGAACGATACATGTGGAATAACAGCATTGAATCATTTCAGCCTTTTAGCATAATATTTACAAGATTTCTTTGGAGTCCAATAATACAATGTACCAATACTGGAGTCTCGCAACAAGTAAGTTTTACTGACAACCAGTCTATACAACTCAAATCGATAAAATAATAATCTATGTTTCAAACAAATTATGGCCGCATAGCGTAGATACCAAATCTCGCGATTTTTTTAGTAAAGCACCTCCATTCGAATACCACACGTCATAATGATGTAAATTTGCAAGAACTAATTAAAAAAATATTACCGTACATTTGCTGAAAGCCTTTTATCCAATCTACTTATTATATCTTTGACGTAAACGTCCTTGATCGGTGAAACAAGCTCCGCATATTATCATACCACTTCTGAACCCGAAATTTTTTTAATGTCTACCGTTTATAATAATGAACTGAAATAAATGAATATCTATCAGTTGTTTCATAACATGTGCATGGATATAATAAATCTTTTCAATTACCAATGGTAATTCATCTAATAATAATAATGCAGCGCGATTTCTTCGCATTCGTTCGAAATAATGATTCTATTTTTTGTTATTGTAGATTGGAATCAGTTTTGTAATGTTAGAGTGTAGGAGTCATTAGGAGTAGTAATTCAACTGGAATTGCCCAGCAAGAAGTATGCGGAACGTAAATAGGTCTTTCCTAATAGTACCTGCTTTTAGAGGTGTCAAGGACTTACTCAACTAAAACAGGCAATATTAACACCTATGATCTGCATTCCTTTTATCTAAAGACCAAGAGTTAGGAATTTATACCAACTCTTACACATGATACTGCCCAGACTATTTGAGTTACCGGTTTTATGGAGAGTCAATTTACCGAGGTCATGGTTCAGGGAAATTATAATAATAATAATAATAATAATAAATGGCCTTTATTCGTCACACGATTACAAAATAATTGGTTTAAAAGGAACAGTGACGAAAAGGTGGAGTGTCAGCTTATGCTGTTTTTCAACCCGACCTGGAAAACATTGACACAAACTATAGAGAGAGAGAGAAAAAAAAACTTAGAATATAACACTTATCAGAGAAAGGAAACAATCAATTACCTGTGGATATGCATAAAGTAAAATTTTAGCCATCCGACTGCTTTAAACTCATCTTTAACCTTTTTTTAAAATTGCTTAGGCTATATTCTTTATACTCACTTGATAAGCAGTTATATAGTTTGGGTGCCCAGTACGAGAAACTGCGTGTGAACAATGCTGTCGAATGCCGCGGGATAAGTAAGATGAGTTTATTCCTAGAGGATCTTTGATCGTACTGGCAGAGGAGGCTTAGTTTTGTATAAAGATAATATGGCGCTTTAAGGATAAGGGTCTTATGTACCAGAGATAGGCAATGCAGTTTTCTCAATTTGTTCATCTTAAACCATCCCGATTGGTCAAAAGCGCTACTAATATGATCAAATTTACGGATTCCATAAGAAAATCTGATGCATGAGTTTTGTATCATCTGAATCCGCTCGGCATCACGTTGTAAAAGAGCAGGTCCATAAACAGAGTCACCGTAAGATAATTTTGACAGGATAAGGGACTCGCAGAGTTTAAGCTTGAGCTGTGTCGACAGGACACTTCGACTCGGATATAACTGACGAAGCACATTATAGGACGCATTGCATAGTTGGTTAACATGTTTAGTGAAGCGTAGCTTGAAGTCAAACCAGATACCAAGGTTTTTGCATTCGTTTACGAAGGATATGTCTTCATTATTCACCATAATATTAATGCGATATTGATTTATTTCACGATTCTTTTTGGGCCCAAATAAAATGCAGCATGATTTGCCAGGATTTAGTTTTAGATTGTGAGCACTAGATATGTCAAAAATAGACTGCAGGTCTTGATTTATTTGATGTTGGCCAAGCATATATTCATCAGGATCGAAGCAGTTATAAAGTTGGGTATCATCGGCGTAATGATGAACGATTGAGTTGCTGGCGGTTTCATGAAAATCACATATATAAAGAGCAAATAAAAGGGGACTCAAAATAGATCCTTGAGGGACACCAAAATTCCTGAATAAAGAAGTTGATATATTGTTTTCATATATGACAGACTGTGAGCGATCAGTTAAAAAGCTCTTAATCAGCGTGCAAGCCGATGATGACAGGCCAAAGTATCTAAGCTTTTTACAGAGAATATTTGGGTCAACCGAATCGAAGGCCTTGCTAAAATCAAGAAGAACTAAGCAGGACAGCTTTCCTTGATCAACCGCGCTATAAATATTATCCGATATAGACAGGAGCGCAGTGGTGGTGCTATGTAATGGTCTGAAGCCAGATTGGGAGGTGGTCAGTAAATTATTTTGACAAACAAATGTGTGCAGCTGCTCATGTAGAGCCATTTCCAAAAGCTTAGATAAACTTGGTAAAATGCTTATAGGACGAAGATCAGAAAAACTTGAAGGATAATTAGATTTAGGCAGAGGGAGAACAAGAGCATTCTTCCAGGAAGAGGGATAAAGATTATTTGTTATACAAAAGTTAATAATGAAGGTAATATACTTGAGCAAATGCTTATGTATTATACGGATCATATCAATTGTGATGCCATCTGAGCCTTTAGCATGACTTTTGATGCGATCAATAAATTTCTCTACAGTGGCAGGGGAAACTGTCGTGAACAGAAAAGTACCACTATTCTTGACGTTTTCATATTTGTCTAAAAGGTTCAATTGAGTTAATGATTTGGTTGTTTGAGGTACGTTTAAAAAAGCACTATTTAATGAATCGAGATCCTGAAGATGTGGAGGTAGACTTATGGAGTTATGTTTAACGATATTCAAAGATCTAAGTATATTCCATGTAGTCTTCGAATTTTTATGTCTCATAACATAATCGAGGTAGGCTTTTTTCTCTCGCCTAATAGCACTAGAAACATAATTTCTGATTTTCTTATAGAATTCCCAGGCAGCAATCGTTCCTGTACGTATAAATTTTTTATATGCGTCACTTTATGTTGAATGTTCGCCAAGGAGCTGGTGGCTTGGTAACTCGAATGTTTCTGACAGGAGCATGCAAGTTGAAGGTGCACAAGATATTAGAGCTCAGGAAGTCAATCATTTGATCCACATCTCTCAACGTATATATAAAATCCCAGTTTATTAAAAGTAAATCATGGTAGAAATTGTCTAGGCTAAAGGTAGAGTAATCACGATATGTCCTCAGTTTACATAGGTTGCTTATCTCCGATGCATCTACATAAAATATTAGGGCTAGATGGTCAGATATTCCATCTACGTCAACAACTTCATAACCACTTATTATATCAGCAGAGCTAACCACGAGCAAGTCTATAGCTGTCTGGCTATTGGAAGTTATACGTGTGGGCTCTTTGACTAACTGAGACAGATCAAAAGACTCAAGAAAACAGTTCAGCATCTCGGATCGGCCGTCGTTCACTAAAACATTAATATTAAAGTCGCCCATGACAACTGCGTAATCATTATCGAGTGAAAGGTTGGTTAAAGACTCAGTTAATTGATGAAAACAGTCAAGCACGTTTGCCGATGGTGGACGGTAGACTATAGCTAGACAATATTTGCGTTGATTAACTTTTACAGAGATCCAAAGTTCTTCCAATACTGCGGTGATATTAGAGTGCAATATTTTGAAGGCAATACCATTTCTCACATAAAACGCGACGCCCCCGCCTCTGCTATTTCGATCTGCTCTAACGACATTGAAGTCGTTGATAAATACTGAGGAGGAATCAATATCTGGGGTTAGCCAAGTCTCACTGAGACCCAGGACATCGACAGCACAGTCAACAACATACTCCTTCAAAGTTAGAAAACCAGACTGAATTGACCTTACGTTGAAGCTCATGAATTTTAGACGTCTAGACATATTGAAAACATCTGCTTATTCTTAAATTCATCTCCTCAATTCATGCAACCATTAAGGAAGAATGATATCTCCTTTGATTTTAAACAAACAATAACGCTTACTTCAGGAGCGTTCAATTGAGTATTTAAATTGAAATGGACATGTTTGCTTTCCCTCTCTTTAATCACGACCAACTGCAGACAGCGCTGTTTCGTGCTCATTAGCAGCTCATCATTGCGGTATAGGTCTAGTGCTCACGGAGAGAAATGAACGGAAACCAAGCAAGTGGGTACTGCCATTTAAAAAGGTCAAAACGTTGTGTGGAGGTAGGCGAAAAGTCTGACGATCTCCTTCCTTTAATAGCTTGTCACGTTGATCTTCATCCTCGTCCCATAAAATGAAAGATGATGGAAGACATCTACGATACCGGCTCTTAACTGCTCGACGTTTTGCGCAATGCACAGATAGATGTCGCAACACGAAACGGTCGACACATCTAACGGCCGGATAAAAAGTAGAAGTAGAAGAGTAGAGTTAGGTATTCCTTCATCGTATGGAACGAAGATGACGATCAACTTGGCAACCATTGGTAGGTGGTGATCGTCAGGTTTGCGCCTACCCCCGTCAAGTATTTAGACAGCACAGCATCACAGGTTTTCGAAGCTTTCAAAACAACCAAAATTTAATTTTAATTTTTTTTTAATTTAAATTTCTCAGAATTTCCAAAATATTCAAAATTTTTGAGAATTTCAAGAAATTCACTTGAATTATAAATGTTTCATAATTTTCATGATTTCTCGAGTTTATTTGTTTTAGCTGCAGATGTAAAATATTGAGCAATCTTCGAATACAGGTGCTGCATTTGATTTGTTACTTAGGCCAAAAAGCGGCTAATAGTACTTTGACATCAAGAACTTCGTATCGTTGAGGTGTCACGGCACCATTAATTGCGTTTTGGATCTCATGAACAATGCAAATGCAGCACTTGCAGTAAAAAATTGCTTAACAGTCTACATATGCAGCTGCTACTTAACAATCAATTTCGTAAACTTGTATGAAATTAATTTGATCCGGTCTTTGAAAAAAGTGCTGCAGGGTAACCGAAACGTCAGTAAACGAGGACATTCAATATATGTGGTTTCATTCACTAGCTGATGTAAGGGACATAAATAAGTTACATCAATCAGCAGTGTTTGCATATGAGCGCTTTTCCCTTCACATTGCAATCAACATTTGACTTTGTGAAGGTGAAGGTCTCCTGAATTCTTGAGTAGCTGTCTATTCAACATAAACATGAATATCAGAATCAACTTACCCTGAAATTGATTTTGAAAGGATCATGAGCACGATCAACATGACACCTCCATCACCTTCCCCCAAAGTGCTTCAACAAAATATTGAAGTATACTGAGAACTAGAACCGGCAAATTCACCATTTTCCAAATCAGGACAAACGTTATCCGCTTATGACTCAGAAACTAAGCTTTGGTTCCATCGTACGGAAAGGCAAGAAAAATATACTTACTGTATCTTTAGGCAAATCCGTTTTCCATATATTTTGTGCCTGGCCCTCTCAAAACTGTCAAAACTTAGTTTTTTGAGTTTCAAGATTCTAGAAATTTTGAGAATCTTGAAAATTTGATAATTTCGAAAATCCCTGGAATTCTGAAGAACTGCTCACATTTCTATGAACCTGCTACCCCTTAACTACACTGCAAGAAGACTTCCTATCCTTCTAGGGAAAGATCCGACGCAATGTAAGAACAATTGTGGCAATCTAAAGAAACCGAAGCAATATATATACCTGCGCTTGCGCAGGTGCCACGTTTCTGTTTCCTATATAACCGATAACTTATAATGTTTTAATAGGTCCTACAATTGTATCTGGTGGGGGCACAAAGGAATCCGAGGGAATCCAAAAAAATCCAAGGATCCAACAAAATATGATCAGAGGAAATTTTCTGTTCCAATAAAGTATCAGTGATTATACCTTTAAGTATACACGGTCTGAACTATTTATCAATATTCTTCTTTATTGCAGTTGCAGATTTCTAGTATTTAAGCTGTACCTAGCTGTTACATAAGAATATTAAAAATAGCAGAAATCTACACCCCTTAAAAGAGTATGGAAACTCATGCTTGGGAAAAATTTCACACATTTTTCTAAAGTATGCATTTTTTGCTCCAGATTGACTCTATGCCAACCAACCATACCAACTCACTTCAAACGTACCACTTGTTAGATGTTCCTTATATTTATTGATTATATAGAACCAATAAATCTTCTGGTCGTGCCTTTACATAGTTACATTAGATTACACCCGAATTCTTTTCCAACTTGCTGATCTTAGTGATCAACACCGTAAATCCAGGCAATAGTCTTATTTATCCGAAAGCTTCTTGAATGCAATGTCAATCAACTTCATTTTTTCTTATTGCTACTAAATTATGAACATGAGTACAAAAAGTAAAAAAAAAACTAGAGACAGTGTAATTCATGCGTGAACTTTCACTAGAAAAGCAAGGAGTGACCGACGTCCAGCAGTTAAACATAGAATTACGACCGATATCAATTAGATTGCTACATTTTCATCGAATGTAGTGAATGTAAGTATCTAGGCAGTACGGATGGTACCATTTATGATGTAACCTAGCTGAAAGGACCACGAATTCTTCATGTGAAAAATGAGTGGCTTTAAAAGAACCGGACAGTGTTCATTAGACTATACCGTATATGCTCATCTCCCAATACATATTTTATTTTTATAACTCTACTGGTGTCAATACATAACATTTCAGTTAAGTAGTTCGTTATAATAAACATTCTTTTGATTTTATTTGCATAATAAGTTTCTTCAGAAATAGTGTGTGATAATCTCTACGGTGACCCAAGAATCTTCTGTAATACATATTTAAGTATTTTTTAAATGCAGTACCTACCAAGCCTGCGAGCTGTCAAGGCTAAGTGTATTTTTCGATAGATTGTCCAATATCTCAACAATTTAAAAATAGTACCCTATAGTATGTTATATCAAATTGCTTCGTTTAGAAGGACATATCCAAATCTGTTTTGAAATGTAGGTCTTTCCATTTAAAAGAATGCAATTTAGGTCACCACGAATTATGAATCACCATGTAGAAAAAAAAACACATTTTCCAAGTAAGGAGCCTACTGTTGAGTGCAATTTTTGTGATTAACTTTTTTGAATGCAATATGTAAAGCCATATTCCGAAGCAACATCAAACATGGAGCTTTTGCCATATTTTAGGTTAGAAATGCTAGACTCAAAATCAAAACACGACACACAATGGTTTTTAAAGAAAATTGTTCAACATTGTATATGTGTATGGATTTAGAACCTACTAGTATAGAATTTCATTATTATCAGTATCTTTTTTTAGTTGCAATGCCACCTATTTTCCGACAATTTTTTTGTAAATTTCCTTGACGGATTAGTGAAGCGATTAATAGAAATATAAAATAAATTGTATGTTAACTAATATAGTTGCAAGAAAATTGCATTTCAATTGCGGTCGTCAAAGTCCAAAAAAATGTATTACAATATTAAGCAGGATGTGACAATGCTGGTTTTATTCATGACTGAAATAAAGTTCCTATTATTCAGGATCAAGACTACACTTCTTGCGGGAATTTAATCATAAAGTGTGAGATATGCTCAGTTATTCTAAGAAATACTCGTGCGTAGGTTGATTTTTATTTAATCTAAATAAGGAAAGTTATCCCCCTAAAATGTTACCTAGAGCGTTGACTCTAATTCATCCTGGGATATCCTTCGAGAAAGGAGCGGGAGTCAAGGGTCACAGACCATTGCAGGATGCGATCAAAGCTTAGGCTAGGTTTTTTTCGGAGGTCAACCACGATTCTTCATTGCCACTGATGGCCTGCATAAAATGTACTTAACTCTTTCATCTCTCTTCAGGCTCAGTCTACACTCAGCGTCTTCCACTATGCCCAACTTGCTCAAGTAGTGACACAATCAGCAGTGACCGATGTAGAGTTTAAATAAAGCTTCTCGCAGCCACTCCTTTTTTGTTAAAATTGGTATGGCTGCCTTAATGTGGACTATACCTGCTTAGAGGTGCACTAGCCCCATTCCTTGCCAGAAGATCGACTGTTTTTTCTCCGATCCGACCTTTGTCTCCTGGTATCCTTATGAATCGGTCATTATTTCTATACACGAGCTAAATTGATTCACGGTAGTGATGTGTTTTTTAGGCCATTTCGGTTAACGGTCGCGTACACTAAAATGAGCTAGTGAACAATACCGCATATTACGTTATCATGCCAGTAAAAACATCGCCTCTCATCCGATTGCCTGAGCTAAGCAGTTAGTATTTGGATGGATAGTGTTGATGTTTTGCTTTTTCAAGTTTTTTGTCAATATGGATGTTTCAAATTTAAATAGTCCTTGTAAACTGTCGCTCACATAGTATAAATCTAGCTATAAGATATACACTTTTTCCAACGATCTCAAATAATGTTTGACACACTTTGTTTTTTGTTTTCAGCAGTACATAAGTTTTTAGTAAACAAATTTCCAGATGTTCTTATTTCGTGAGACTGGTCCTCCTTTTTAGTTCGCAGACGAAGACCAAGCGAAGAATGAACCAAGGTGAAAGAAGAAAACAGACTTACACCCTTGTCACCATTGTGACATCGAGTTATCTATATCGATAACTTCATTTTCTCCTGTTCGATATCCTGCTTATTTGGTTGCCTACGGTGACATCTCGTCTATTATCTATATTCTCGAACGAACGAGTTGACGAGCGTTTCAGGAAATGATGTACTAGTTCACTTAGACATAAGAATCGTTCGCTTTAACTAGTTCGTTCGCGAACTACACATCACTAATTCACAACGTCTTATTAGTGCGGATGCTTGGACACGCGGAGGCTTATGATAATGAGATGACAGATATTCTTGAAAGACCAAGACATTTACACACCAAAAAACGTCGCGCCACCCCAGCCGAGGTTTCATTATACGGAAATTGTATACCATGGAAGAATTCTGCCAAGTATCTCGGTGTCATCCTTGATAAAGGCAACAACTATATAAAATGATTATTAGACCAGCCATTACTTACGCGTATGTGGCTTGATGTGTTCTTCCCAAGACACACATGCAAAGTCTTCAAGTTCTGCAGTGAACGACTATACGAACAGTTTGCAACGCTCCATGGTATGTCTCAAACGAGACACTATACAGACGCCTTGACATTCCATGCTTGAGGGATTATGTCAAGCTTCAGACGCAGCAACATTAGAGTCAAGCGGAATCTCACAGCAACCTCCTGTTGCGTGACTCAGTGGGCTACACAGTGGAGCAAGTTCGTAAACATTCAAGGCCATGGCTCGCACTGTGATAAAAAAAATTATAATACAAAACCTTAACCAAAATTTGTTTTTAGTTCACCTCAAAATTAATCCGTGTACCAAGTCAAAAAGTGAAGGTGTTGTAACGGTTTCACCGTCCGATTGTATTTATTAAATCACTTCTCGATTTTCATTTCAGAATCGCAACTCATTAATCCCATCTCTAGCTTATCCCATCTCTAGCTTTTTTACTTGGAAACATTTCCGCTTGGAGCGCGCTTGATGCGGAGTTCCTGATCTGTGATCTTCCTCGCGCTTCCTTTCCACCTCAGCCGCCGAACTAACAACAGCTAAGAATTTTGTTCTCTGTAGCATGAGGTCATATAGCACCATGTGCTAGCATTTTGTAAAATGTGTGTCCAAATAGGATAAAATGATTGGGGCACCCCCTTTTCCTTTGTCTTTGACTTTGCCTCCCTTTGTCTTTGACTTTGCCTTGCTTGGCCTATCACTTTGCCGTGCCTTCACCCATGCATGTGCCTTGGCTGCGCCATGACTTACAGCTTCATCCTTGATGAAGATCACGTTTAAGTTCAACTTCACTGCATCCTTCGCCTACAACTAGTTTTGAAGCCACTAAATATGAGGTCACCCCTCATAACTGGGACCTCCACTTGAAGCCCTTGGCCATCCTCGCTTCAGTCCAGTCAAAATGGACCAGCTTAGCGAAAGATAAGTGGATAGTTTTGTAACAGCGCCAAAGATTTAAAACTTTCATTTTGTTCTTTAAAATTTCAATTTCAAATGTAATGAAAATGCTTTTCTAGTTAAATAAAACCTGTTAAATTTTTGTGTTCTGTTTGTTGTTCTATCCTCTAGCTATGCCATGGTCGACACACAGCTACACGCCTGTAGATGTCTTCATGCCACCGACTGAGCTACCGGAAGCTAATGGTAACCCCCTTTCTGTGATTGTGCAGAAAAGTTGAAATCTTCATTGAGTTCCATATTTTCTGGACTTTTTGCGGAAAAGAAGGCTTACAATGTTTCCTCTCAAACTGATACACTTCTGTTTTTCTTCGCTCTTCTGCTTTTTTCTGCTCCTTTCCGTTCTCTTTGTCCTTGATATTGTCTAGTTTCTGGTAACCAAGACTGACATATTCCACTAACCTTCATTAGACAGTGACTAATGGGCAAAGCTCCTACAGACTCCCCAGACAAACAAATGACGAACAGTATACTCTCTGGCACTTGTTGTTGTTTTATGTCAGTCACGACATACTGTATGTTGCCGTATTACCCATTTTATCGTCTTGTTTCTAGGCTACACGCTTATGAAACGCATCGTATATAGTCAAACTACGCTAAAGCGCTTACCGTTAGGGCTAGTAAAGAATGAGATAGCTAGAAACGCACACAGGCACAATTCTATTTATGTAAACCGACCATATGCAAGACACAAGGTGTTAAATAATTACACCAATAGAGATTTTTCAGCTCGGTTTACTGTAAACTTTGGGTGCCTTGTATGGTGGACAGTGTACAGAATGATACAGCTAAGTTCCATGGTAAAGCTGCACACCCTCTGAGGTAACGCTACGTGGAGGGAACCGTGTCGATTTTTCCATTGCACACGTCAACCGTGATATTATCGCTCCGCTTAGCAGCTCTCGTGTATTTTTATCTTCTTCTGTTTGTTCCCTGTCTCCTCAATGGAATGTACCTTAAGAGAAACACCAGTAATCATGTCCAAATATGTGGTAGCTAGTTTGCGTCAATAATCGTCTGACCGCGGCAACGCAGAAGCAGCTGGTGGCAGATCCATCCACATCTTGTCACAAATGTGTCATCCTTAGATATATGTCCGTCCCCCTCCACGCATCAGAAGCTTTCTGCAGGGTGTAAAGTGTGTGCCTATGGCTCAAAATTCGATTAATTTAAGGAGTTATTGAATGAATGTGATCGATTTCTTCTTAAAATGTCTCGCAAGCTAGAGAAACATTGTAAAACGTGTGTAATTGCCAAATCAAGGAATACTTCATATCCCAACGTTTACATAAACCTTATTTTTTTATTTGTGTTCGGACACAAAATTTGCGATCCTGGCACAAATTCCATCAATTAAAAAAAGTTTGGATTATAGTCGCAAATTCAACCAGTCAAAAAGAAGCGTTTGTGTCCTGCTTGAAATGGACTTAGCCAACGGGTCTAAATTAAAGCGATTCCGAAAGGCGCGTTGGGTTGCGAGCACAGAACATCCGCTTGAAAACTAGGCGTTCCGCACCGCGTATTAAATAATTGATCTTCTGGAGTACTACACATATCCTAGGAAACTCGCTGCTCTGATGGAGTTTCTCATACTAAGACTCCCAGAAGGATTATCCCTTCATTTCGTGATTCTAAAGCAGTCGCTATATACGAGATCAGGCTACTGTGCCAATTTCTTCCGCGTCCAGCATGTTGTTGTTCGTCCAGAAAAGGTTTTATAAAATTTCCGATTACCTAAAGTTGTTCAGAAATAGGAACAACAAGGAACGGACTTAGGAATCTATCAAGGGGCATGCAGTGATGCTCGCAGCATTCATGTTCAGGCAGCACTTCTGACAGCAAATTCCTTTGTAAGGATTGAAGAGCGGGGAATGGGATATGTTCAGGGAGGGGCGCACGATTCATGATTCAAGTCTAGCATCGTAGTTTTTGCCTTTAAGCTAAGATATAGGAATTAATACCACTTTCTTTGAAAAAATACCAGAGCTGTTCGCCAAAGGGGTGACGCGCGCCATCTTCCTTCCCTATAAATCTTCCCTTGCATGCCCCAGTATAAAAATATGCTCAAGGCAGAGTCGCGTTCAGCACCAAGTTGATGAGGTTTCGGGAAATTGTCCATCAGGCCAGTGTCTAATGCACCGTGATGAAAGCTCATCCCAAAGGAATACCCCCTGATATTTGCATCGAGGTTTCTAGTTCTTTGTTACGCATTTTCGATGACACAATCGACCAATTTACCCGATCACCCTGTGGATTGCGGTGGTTCCAGAACCATCACACATCTGCTGCTGCAGCTCAACAGGGAAAGTGAAAGTACCGCTTCGCCGCCAAAGACTTGTTGTCCGCGGAACCAAAAGCAATAGTACCGCGAGTCGTGCTGCAACAAGACGGTGACTCCTTTATCGGGCGCTTCTGGTATCCACGTGCGTTTTCGGTGAGTGCCGTGCTAGGACTCAGTGCTTGGTGACTCCTGACTGAACTGTGTGAAGACATTAGAAAAAGAGCCGCAACTATTAGCGATTGCCAATAGGTTTGTATGATATTGTACATTTAGGAGCTTGAGGCTTTTTTTCTTTAAAAAGAAATGGTATCGAATAAATTGAGCTTGCATTTGCTTTACGACGCTGTAAAATCATGTCCGGCAAAAGTTACCTACGAGGAAATTTATTAGAGGAACTAAATGGATCAAGTTGGTCATTACAATATCATTCTTCACTTATTTAACAATTTTGCGATCTAGGAAACTAGATTTATCTTCTTGCTTTTTGCGGGTAAGCGTCATATCGTGCTATTGAGTCGCGCATCTGGCTTAGAAAAACATTTAGCTGATGATCGACCTACTTGGATTATTTTTTATGTATTTTACTTCCGATCTTACGAATATTTGCAAAATAAAAAAATGGTATGACAACATTATACTTGTTTGTATACAACATCGAGGCTGTTGGATTATATTATGTTTAGACCGTGTGAGAAGCAGTCACGATAACTACTTGACTTTTAGCGGGTTGCATATATTTTGCCCAAACCCTGTATACAGGGTATTCGAAAAATAAACGGAGATATTTTAGACGATGATTCCTTGTTAAAAAATATGAAAAAAAAATATATTAACATTGGTCCGGAGTTTTCAAGATACAGGATGATAAATTTGGAAAAAAAAACTTTTTTCATTAATATCTTAAAAATGTTAGCTCGTTTCTATTGAAATTTGGCAATATTATTTGTTGTATTAAGAAGCTGATTTAGCCATAAATAGATTAAAATTATGAGGTCCAGTCGCGTCCCGGGGGTACCTTAGCGAATATTATTGGCAAAAAATGTAGGTCACAGTCTTTTCGTAACTTCAATATTTGTTGTTTGATCAAGCATCTAAAAATACAATTTATTGCTTTGCCTCTTGTATTTTTTTGTATCTCACTTCGTTTTCGAGAAAAAAAAATAAAATAATTTTAATCTATGTAGGGCTAAATTAGTATCTTAATAGAACAAATATTATTGCCCCATTTCAACAGAGTCGAGTAGATAATTTTTAAGATAATAAAAAAATATTTCTTTCTAAATTAAAAAACTTCATATTATTTAACATAGAATCTCCCTCTAAAGTATGTCCGTATGACATTCCATGCCGTACTTTCTTTGTAAAGGCTTTTCTGTCATATCATATTTTTTATATGGTAATGAGTAATGACCATTGCGGCGATTAAATATACCATTTTTAGTGGCCTAACTCTTGTCGGGCCATATTATTTTTGAAGGGAAAATAAAATCTTCACGCGTTCGTGTGTACCACTCTCAAAAATACTGCCGCAGTTCGCTATCCTCTGGTCTAAGTTACGCAAAATAAATTGGGCTATTCATAACAACTTTCTCAATTTGCCTAGTTAATATCCCAGATTCTCAGCAACTGCTTGCAAAACACTATTCTGAGTTTCCTCTAAAGATTTCTTTTATCGAGACGTAACAGGCTTTTTCAATGATCCATATCCATTTAAATTTCGATGCAACTAAGAAAATGGACTTACTTGGCTGCCTGCTGTCAGGAAATTTATCAAGATACATTTCTGCACTGTTTTTAATGTTGTTGTAGCACAAAATGTAACACGTCAGCATGTCAAACTTTTCTTCATTACTAAAATGATCGCCTGGCTTTGACGATAATACAGCAATATTAACAATACAAATAATAGCAATACTCGGTCAGCATAGCACATCAACGTAATCCTCTGAGATTCCGTTTTGCACACCAGCAGAGCTCCAAGGCCACATTAAGGACCTAAAGGTGCGTAAAGCACCTGGAGAGGATCAAATCACCAACAAAGCACTGAAGTTGCTTTCACTCAAGGCTTTGACTTATCTGGTGGCAATAATCAATGCAATGCTCAGAACTCATTACTTTCCTAAGGCGTGAAAGGTCGCTGAACTCATCATGATCCCAAAGAAGGCAGGTTCGATATTCCTCCAGGATTACCGACCCATTAGTCTGCTGTCAGCTCCTTCTAAGCTGGCTGAAAAGGTGATTTATCGTCACCTTGAGAATTTCTAGTAAGATCACCGTGTGATTCCTGACGTGCAATTCAGCTTTCGGTCTGAGCATAGTACGGAACTACAGGCAGTTAGACTGGTGGAGCATGTAACCAGGGGGTTCACCCTGAACAAAAGTACTGGTATCTTGCTTTTAGGTGTATCAAAGACATTTGACAAGGTGTGGCACATGGGCCTATTGTATAAGCTCATCCAAAAGGGTTTTCCATTTTGGCTACTAAAACTGTTGAAATCTTTTCTAGAAGGAAGGAAGTTTCGGATCAAAATTAACAATGTGTTGTCAACAACACGGCCCCCGTGTTCCTCAGGGTTCGGTCTGCGGACCAATCCTTTATGCACTTTATATACATGACGTCCTTGCCCCAGCAACTTTGAAGTCTATCTCTATGCTGACGACACTGCATTGCTAGACCAGTCTTGTTCTGGTAACCTGGTTCACGAGAGGCTGCAGAGTGCGGTGGAGGAAGTATTGGAGTGGGCGGATCGCTGGTTGATCAAAATTAATACTACGAAAACGCAGGCAATCCATTGTACTAAAAAACGTCGCGGTGCCCCCTCAGAGATATCATGAATGGAACTCGTATACCATAGGAGCAATCTGTCAGGTATCTTGGAGTCATCATTGACAAGGGGTTGACCTGGCAGAAACATACTGATATTTTGAAAACAAAATTCCAAATTACCATTCGGCAGCTTTATCCTTTGTTGTGCAGAAATTCAAAATTAAGTTTGATCAACAAGATTCGGTTATATAAAATGGTGATAAGACCCGCAATCAACTACGCATGGGCGGCTTGGTGTTTTCTTGCCAAGACGCACATGCAGAGACTGCAAGTCCTGCAAAACAGAACCCTACGCACAATTACTAACGCCCCTTGGTACGTGTCAAATGAGACTATTCAAAACGATCTATCTATCTAAGAGATTACGTAAAACAACAGGCGCAGCGGCATTATAATCAAGCGGAATCGCACAGCAACCCTCTGTTGCGTGATTCATTAGACTACACAGTCGAGCAAGTTCGCAAACATTCCCGTCCGCGCCTCGCACTGTGATCAAAATTAAATTGTAAATTCAGACCAGCCAAAATTATTTCAGTTTACAAAACCGATCAAAATTATTTTTTGGAGTTACAAAATAATTCGAGTAGTCAAAGCATTAATGCTTAAGCTATTTCAAATGATTTACTTCTTTTCTTTGCTCTATTTCTTCCTTCCTTTCTTTCCTTCTTTCCCTTTTCTCCTTAAACATGGTTGGTATCTGGGTAGCCAGACCTGACAGACTAACAGACCGACGAGACTTTTAACTAAGAGCAAAGGTCCACCGGACCGCTCTGACGAATAATGACGAATAGTAGCAATACTCGGTAACAGGTATTTACGTCAAGTCAAGCATTTTTCCTTATAACCAAGAAAATAAAAGTGTAACATGTGATAGATCGTTAAATTCGTATAAAAAATGCTATTAGAGACTTTATTTTCGGAACATATGAAAAATAAAGTTGATGATGCTTTCTCAAAAACGAACCGTCGGGTACGAAATTTAAAAACACCATGATGTGATGTCTAAAAAGTGTCAATGAAAACTTACATCAGTGAAAAAAAACAAAACTGTTTTGGCCTAATTTTAGTTTTTCCCAAATATCTCAGTAACCCATGAAATTTTTACACCCCAAGAAAACGCAAATTTTTCCTAATTTAACCTAAGCTGTATCTCCTTCAGGTATTGAGACCCTCATGCATAGGGTCCTTATCTTGGCCACCCTAGATACGAATGCCTAAAAATTGGCATCTACCCTCCACCACATCATCCAACCCTAATGTGTTTTCTGTAAATGATCAGAAAACTATGAAATGTCAAAAGATTGAGCTGAGCGACCTTTATTTTTTTCGTGTTTCGCTCGTAGCTCCTCCGCCACTGGACCGATGTTCAAAAAATACAATTTTTTCCGGTCCTTGGTATAGTAGTAAGGATTAGCGGACAGATAAGCAGTCTGGCCAACGAAACTGAGTGGCATGGTAATTTATGATATACTATTCAAAAAATATAACATGTCGTTTTAGAACTTTTCCTTCCTTGCCAGCGGCGTAGGAAGTAAAAGAAAATATGAGAGGCTGTTGTTGCGTTATATGACAATTCAGACATGCAGGTGCTTTTGGATAAGCTCAACGTTTCTAGACATTGTCTTGAGGTTATATGATCAATTAATAGAAACATTTCGAAGCTTAAAGGTTTCAAAAAACTCAAATATGTTTACTTATGAATTGTTGTTTAGCGCTTGGTGAGTTCTATCTTTTTCTTCTTCTTCCTTCTTTATTAATAGGCTCATGCCTGTTTTACTTCGGTTTTTAGCCTCAATTGATGTTGTCTGACCATCTTTTCCTCGGTCGTCCCATTGATCTTCTTCTATTTGGCGATTTGTCTTTTGCTATTCATCTCGTACTGTTCTATTTTCTGTCATTGATTTCTATCTGAATGTGTAAAGACTAATCTACAAGGACTCGTGGCTTGTATGATATTCTAACTTTAGAAGCTTAAAGATTCTGACCCTGTCAGCTATACAGCACTTGGTAGCTTCTACCGGGCCTACATAGTACTATAAAAGTTTTGCAATACTGCTTTATTTATTGACTTCGTTCAAAGTAATTTACATCACATTCAATAGACATCTCCATCCGTTTAACATCATTTTCACATGCGGCAACAGTGCAAAGTCACAGGGAGCAAGATCTAGACTGTAAGGAGGGTGTTCAATAAGTTTCAGTCCAGTAGTGGTCAAATACTCGGTGCAGGCTTTGACGCGATGAGCTGGAGCGTTGTCATGGTGGAGGTACCAAGTGTGCATTCTTGACTTTGGCCGCAAGTTTTTCATAGACTCTATGACCTTAGGCAGGCACTGCTCCGTGTCCCAGTTAGCTGTGACTGTCCACAATTCCGCTCAATTTGAAAAATACAGCTATGACTTTTTTCTTAACAGATAGGGATTTTCTGACAGCTACGGGTGTGTCCTCTTCATCAAAGATCCAAAATTTGTTATGAGCCTTGATCGGCACCAAGTTGTACTACGAGTCTTCTGCTCTTCCGTCAGACTACGCGGTACCCACAGAGCAAAGTCTCCTTACGTGTGAATGGTTACGCTGAATTGAATGAATTGCTGGCGCGTGAAGGTGTAAGGTCTCCTCTATCTGTTGGTATGTCACTTTCCGCTTTTCGTCAAGCATTTTTCTCACAGCAGTAATGTTTTCCTCTGTTACTAATGATCACGGCCTTCCTTCCCACTCAGCGTCCTCCAGAGTGAAATTGCGCCATTGGAATTCTCTGTACCACCTGAATATAGTCGTACGATGAGGACAATCATTCTTTGATGCAAGCGTCATTTCTTCTAAGCACTCCTCTATGCTTAAACCACGCGTAAAGTTATACCGTTAAACTGCCCTTTACAGTGTCGATACGAATGAACAACTTAATTAACAGGCGTGTTGCTGGCGGCTACTATGCACTCATGGACATGTCTCAACATGCAGTAACATGCAGCCTCCTGCGTCCGTTTGTTAAGTTATATTGCAAAACTGTTTTAGTTTGTATGTACATGCATCATCAAAATTTGAGATTTCTGTTAGGTTTGTATGATGTTACTGGCATATTCATACCTTTAGCAACTGTAATTGGAAAAAGGTGATTGAAAGTTGAAGAGTGGAAGTTTGACTATTGGCAAAATCCTTCAAGGTTCTGAGAAAAGTTGGTGACTCCCAGGTGGATTATTTTGAGATCAGAAAGACCGAAAATTGCTGTTACGTTTGCTTGATATTTTAGTCACAATTACATTTTTGGGATCTTAGTGCAAGTAGTAATAGTTCAGTTTGAAAGCTACGTACGAACTATTACCAAAAACGTCTTGCTTCTTATGATGGTTTCAGAACAAAACATTAGATCTTTGGGGGTTGAAGGTGCTGAAAAATCCCAGAAGCTTTGTTTTGTAACCTGCTATTGAGTGGACCTAATTCAATCATGTCAACGCAATCTTCAAAAGAGGTTGGATATTGTCGACAGAACTGTTTGTGATATTTTTGGCACAAACCGTATCCATTGGCTACAACGTACAGTCGGTACTGTCTGATCCACTAAACAACTAGACGGCTTTACTCAAACATTAAAGTTAAAAAGTTACCATGTTAGAGTCATCAGAATCCTTATTTGGTGGTAATTTTTCACGTATCTAATTTGAAAACAGATAATCTATTTGGTCTTGACATTCTGCCCATGTATAAAACATAATGAAGTTAAATGCTCTAACTGACCTAGGAGTTTATGAAATAGACTTGCTATTTAAATATGCCGTGCTTTCCCGAGCACCTAGTCCCTAATCACCTGAAACCTTGAATATCTAGACGATATAAGGAAAACATTACTCAGACTCTTTTTGTTGCAAATATACTTAAATGAAATAATTTTTTACACGTACCTTATAAAGTATTAATTAGTACCACTTTTTTAACTAAGTACCTGATTCGAGCTTGGAGCTAATTTTAATAACGACACTGTAATTATCTGTAGCAACTTTTTGAGCGATATGAACACCAAGCGCATTCTATAGTACAGTCACATTAGGAAGACAAATGACAATCACGATATTGAAATCGTTGGAATATTTTAATCTAATTAACAAAAAATACCTGTGATGAGAGATGTTACCGTAATTTTACCTGCTAAGTCAATACACGGGTGGCATGCTAATTTTATAATTGAGAGACATATTTAATCTGAGATATTGCCATCAGTAAGTAGGGAAGTAGGGAAAGCGTCACTTATTCGTTATTTGGCGTTTAAAACTTTTTATTTTACAGCGAAGTAAAAAAATATCCTATCCAACGTTTCTGGAATAAACGAGACAATTCGTTGCAGTTTCGAAAGTACTTTGGAGGATTGAGTACGTAAGCAATTTAAAAATAAATTTATATCAACACTATGGAAAAAACCTCTATACTATTTTTCGTATGACTGAATCCGTAACAGCGAGTATGTTTACTAAACAACAACTCGAGAGATAGGTAAAGTGGCGCTGGTGGGATTAGAACCCGCATCTCCTCCATTCCGTGATCACTATCAAACCAATTAGTATACAGCACCAGCTATCTACCAACTTTCAGGATCGATTGTCAGATTGTGCTCATCCAGAAAATCGTATACAGGTTGCTGTCCTCGCACGGTGCCACTGTGGTGTGTGCCCACGAGACAGCGTGGTGCAACTAGGAAGCAATTAGAGGTACCTTATCAATCCGGTTTGTTTTCAAGCAGCTTGAAAGAACAAACGAACAGTGTCGTGGTTAAGATTGAATTTCCCTCTAACAGTCTGTCCTGAAAATTGGTTCACAGCTGGTGCTGTATACTAATTGGTTAGGTGAGCCCCACGCAATCGATCAGAAGCGGGTTCGAATCCAACCGGTGCCCATTTTTATTATCTCGCACGTTGTCGTTTACTAAATGAGGGGAAGAAGTATTCACTAATTTGACTGTATTTTCAAGTTTGTGTATGTATCTGTAACTCATTGAAATTACTGTTGTTTTAGTTTCACCGTTTCTTGTGTGAAAAATCATATTATGTGACATACAAGTACATTACGAAAAATCATATTATTCATTTAAGACAGTCTGTCTGTCTTAATATATGTTCTCTAATCCTTGACCCCTCTATAACATGGAAAGTACCGTTCGGATTTTGATGAAATTTCGAAATAAGGTTACTCTTTTGCCAAGGATGAAAAAAAATTGATATGAGAATCGATGAAGCTGCGGCGAGGCTACGGGAAAAATGGAAAAATACAACTTGTTCAAATTGGTTTTCTGCACGGGTTGAAAATTAAGGGTTGGGGGGTTGCAGTAGTTTGGAGAGGATATATCTGAATTCTTGGCAATAGTATATTTATACACTCGCAGCCCCGGTCGTTTAACGCAAAGAAATATTTCAATCATCGTACATTTTCCCGAAATTTTTCCCTTAAAACTTGATAGAGTAATATTTTCAACACACGCGTCTAGGCGAGGATTAATTATGGCACCAATGACGGATGTTCGGTACTGTCGGTAAGGCAGGAAGAAAATTCTAGATCGCAACGCAGTGTGGGGAATATAGACAAATTGTATGAGTCTATTTGAGTGACTTGATCCATGCAATTATTTTGCTGTTCGGGTTCGTATCTGACTTTTTCTTCAGAGGGCTAACCTGTGGTGAACGTAATTCTTTATGGGGTCGTGCATGAGAAGTGAAAATTCTGCACGAGAATATTCTTTTGATCCTAGTTTTTAGGAAATATAGGAATGCCCTCCTAATTTAACTATACTATGAATGCTGTAGTTTTAATCACGCTAGAGTTGGAAAGCCGCATTGAAATTAATCGCTGTACACCTTTCGTTCAACGTTTATTTATTGGAAGTACCGATAAAAATTCAGCTGTTTTATCTGCATATTTGCATAGGAATTAGACGCGGCCGATCGTTCGAAACAGTTCGAAAGTTTATAAGTAGATGGACTTACACGCCTCCTCGGAATTTTTCTCGGTTGATTTATAGGAAAAACTTTACTTATGAATTCCTCAGGATGTGGTTGATATGCTACAATAATTTATTGAGCTGTTCAGGTTTTGATTTAGTCATGAAAGGTTTCAGATAAGCGGAACTCCAGCTTGAGGGAAAATTATAATAGCCCAGTTGGAAGACACATATAACAAGCAGACTAACTGTGATGCTATTAATAAAGTTCCGTACAGTTTCTATATATTGATAGGTATTCACATTTTCGCAAGCGCTAAGCTCATTTAAAACGCATAACAAATACAACATCTCTGGTAATTCATACAAATGTAAGCAACCTATTTTCTTATCGCTTTGAAAGCGCTAATCGTTTTTGAATATAAATACACCACCCAGTTTATTTTAGCGGGAATAAAATAATTTGCTGCTCAAGTTAAAATTTGATCAGTTTAAAAGAATCCTATAGCGCGTAAGGTTTTCTAGTAGGTATGAACTCACTCTATAAGTTTCCCGAAAGCACATCACGCTATTTTAACCTTCGCAATATTTACAAAAGTAAAGATATTCTTAGTTTTAAGTTAAAAAAGGTTCTCTGCGAAGCACTGGTCTTGTGTCACCTTAACTATTGCAACTTTGTGTATGGTCCTTGCTTAGATGTATTTACTAAGGATAAACTCCAAAAAGTGCAGAATTCTTGCATACGACTTATTTACCAGCTTAGACGTCACGATCATGTGAGTCATAAACTTTCCGAACTGAAATGGTTGAATGTTTCCAATCGAGAAAAGCTGCATTTTGCTTGCTTTCTTCATAAATTGATTAAAACTAAAAGCCCTCCATATCTGTTTGAAAAATTAACTCGTAGAAATCTGATTCACTCTCGTGCAACACGCTTTAATGTACTTTATGAAATACCTAAAATAACTAAAACCATGACTCAAAGCTCATTTTCCTGTACATCAGTCAAACTTATAAACCAATACAATATAGGTCAATTTGAAGATATGTCTCCTAATATGTTCAAACGAAAACTGAAACAACTGCTTCTGTGAAGTATAAGTTGTTTATTATTGCTTATTTTCTTTGTAACGTATACGTACATCTGTAGTTATTATTGTTCATTGTTGTTATGTAATATTCTAAAATTAATGTAATGTAAAACTTGTTTCTTGTCATATTACTTTTCTTTTTGGCTTGTTGTTACTTTTTACATGCTCGGTTAAGTTAACAGCATAGCTGGCCTTCGCCGAGTTTAAAATAAAGGCGTTTTTATTTATTTATTTATTATAGCTTTCCAAGTGACAGTAAATAATGACATTTTTGAGACCTGTCTCTGTACATTATGCAAAAGTTGCGTCATAGATATTCCTTGTTAAGCATCTTTTAGATGTCTTTGGCTACAGCGCCCTTCTTATAAATAAAATATAAATAAATCAGCGGGGCACCAACCACGATCACCAACCTATGCAAAACCACATTTTTGCTAAATTTTGATTTCGGATGAATTAGCACTCATTATTTTTCCAGTTACTAAATCAAGCTATCATCAAGGACCAGAAGGAAATTGAGAGTCAAAGTGGCAACTTGAACGTAGATGTCGCTGTGTGGTGGCGTCAGGTTGACGCGCCTGGCCACGGTGCTGGCCTGGTGCATCCTCAGAGTACGAGCTGATGATTGGCATCCTTTCCAACCAGGACCACCGGAGTACTTTGGAGCGGGATCCGCACGTGGTCACGAGCCCAATCTTATCTTAGACCATGGGTAAGAATTTGGCCACATTTATCGTTTTTTGTTCATTGTTTCTTATCAGAGTTGACTAACTAAGATGCAAAGCCCAAATGTTCTCATTATATATATATATATATATTGACGACTTATAATAGTTTTCACTCACAATCAATTTTATGTTTCCACAATAAGGTATTCATTATTACATTTTTATCCTTGTTTTATTCATAATTGGACTTCTCCGCCATCTCTACCTCCGAATGGGTACTTGCACTGCTTGGCGTTTTTCTTTCGATTTTGAAAACCGATTGCGCAATTACGTTATCATATTTTGTCCTTTACAAATTCTAGATTGTTGGCTTTTACACCGAATTGCTATCACTTAGCAAGCTTCGTGTTGTTTGGTTACAATCCTACAAACTTGGAGACTATGAATGAATGAATTATGAAACTAGAGGCATACCAGTCACCATGAGGAACCGGCGCATATGCCACTTAAACGGGCCCTTATGCACCCCTACATTCCCTAAGCCTCAAGCTCCGCCCTTCTAGCAAAGTTGAGTATACCCTTGCGTGGATCCTCCTTAACATTCTGGCCATTCAAAGTGATGGACCCCAGTATAGACTGCCTGTAGTAGCTCAGAGCCTCACAGCGACACGGAGAGAGGACTCTTCCTCAACCCCGCAGCGCTCATAAATCATGGGATCTTCAGCCACCTCCATCACATGCAGCTGGCGTCCCAAAGTGCTATGGCTAGACAACAGTCTCAGCAACCACCTTAGGTTGGATCTTTCCAAAGATAAGCAAAAGCGTCCATCCTAAACACTGGGCCCTAGGATGAGCCCCCTTGCCTGACGGAGATGTCTAGAGATGCTTCTCCATTTCTGAGAGTTTTGTCTCGAAATCCTCTTGTCCATCTTCCTCCTGACCCTTTGCGCGAGTACCCCTTAGCTTGCTCGCTGATCCTGCTTTCGCAAGAGCGTGCGCCATAGCGTTGCCCTTTTTATCCCAGCATGCTCCTGTACCCACACTATCGATACCGGATGCCTTCATCGCGGCCTGGTTGTCGAAGAAGATTATTATTCTTCTCTTAGGCCATCCTCCCTCCAAAATGCGGTATTCGCTTGCCAGAGTCGCATAGATGTCCTCCTGGAAGTGGTGTATCAGCTGAGAGGCAGAGTTCTAGGCCCAATGACTCCATCATCAGAGCACTCTAGAGTGACCGAACCGTCCGAGTACCAGACCTGCCTACTCCGTTGGGAAACCTTGCGGCTTCCGGAGTCCCCCTTGCTAAATACTCCACATTAAAGATGCGGTTGAACCGATATTTAGGGGTGATCTGGTCACCCCTGCTTAGAGGAACAGGATTCTTCCTTTGCAGCTTAACTAAAATGACAGTGTGACCCTTGACAGCAATTCAAAAGCTGCCCTGACGCCACAGTCGATGTGCGATTGCTCTCGCCTCTCCGGGGATCTCTGAATTTTATTGAGTTTGGTTCCAATGCTACCCAGGGAGCCATACAAGAGAGCTACTATCGTCTTATAGAGCCAGTGCACCACTTTGTCTACGATGAATTCGAGCCTTGTTAACCTTGTACGCAACATGGCCTCTTTAATTCAGTTTACAGTCCAAGATAATTCCTAGATATTTAATTGGTTGGGATAGAACTAGTCTAGTCCCAAAGAATGTCACCAAAACAAGCCCATCAAGCTTCCTGCTTCTTGGAGACAATGGAGACAATTTTATAGTCTCTCAAACCATTTGTGTTCATATTGATCAAGGATTTCGCGACATTCCACATTGAATACTCTTTATGGTATATCCTGAAGAATAAAATAAACATTTTCGAAAGCTTGATTTGGCCTACGAGTCAAAGAGAAAGGGGAAATGTGGAGATGAAAAAAGATGTAATAGGTTCGCTTCACTCCACCATACGCTGATATTAAATCTATTCAAAATTCTAGCTACAAAAATATGCTAAGCGTTATTCGTGGTAATTGAAAGTTGAGGCATAACCGATGTTTAAACTATTACACCTTGTAACATTTCTTTACTATGCCCCAACGTAACCAAAAAGTTAAATGAGGTCAAAAACGAACCATGAGGATATTCCTTGCCACCTATAGATCGAGTTTCAAAACCCGTAAAGCTTTTTCGTCTTTGAATTGGCATGGTAGAGATGTTTTATCAAAATTTCATCAAAAGTGGTACTTTTCTAGTTATAGAGGGACCAAGGATTAGTTTTATAATACTTGTAGCTTTAATATTAAGTTGATTCTTTTTTAATTTTGTTACCCTAATCCCTAATGCATGAGAAAGAAGGTTATGTTTTTGCGCGTGTGTGTGTGTATGTAACTACGTATCCGAAAAAATTATATTTTACGGGATCCAGGCCAAGCGGCTTGATAGTTTTTGACATATGAGATGTTGTTGGATTTTTTTTAGCAGTGAAAGTGATACTGGCTATTTCATAAAACAAAATAGCGGATTTTGTGATAAAAATCACCCTAAAAATTCCTATTTCACTGTGTGTGCCTCTAGATTGGTCCTTAACAATGCGAGTGGTGGTGGGAGTACTAAAACTGTATAAAAACAAAATGAAGGATTTCAATAATAAAATTCAACCTTGAAATTCCTGTTTTACGGGCTATACTTCAAACGACTCTATGAATTTTGACTTGAGGCTTTTTTTTTGAACTGCTGCAATTGTCTTCTTCGTTTTTTCTTTAAAAAATAATAATACAGGCGTACTTGGTTAAAAGGTATCTATTGTGTCTGGAGAGGCTACGGTTTCAGATAAAAGAAATTACAAATCCAACAGCGAAAAGCTACATGCTAGGCCCTGTGTCAATCCTATGGAGTCTAATTAAAGGATCAAAGCTGTACACAGTGCTTTAAAAAGTGTATATGGGGGTCACAATAATGTTAAGTCTTACCTTTTGTTATCTGTATTCTATAATCTGTAGGTAAAAGATAGTAAAGTGTAAAAATCGATGTTTGGGAAAACTCAGTTTAATATTCTGAATTTTTTTCGAGCTAAATAAGTAGTATTATTACCATATAACAAAAGTGAATAAATATTGCAATGTAACATGACTTTACAGTGTCATTTAAATGTGATTTCGGATCAAAATTGTTGTCGAGGGCTAAAATAAATGACATTCTGCCTTTAATTGTCGTAAAGGACTATATTAAGTTTATTATTATTATTACCATATAACCAAAATGGATGAGTATTGCAATGTAAAATAACTTCACAGAGTGATTTATGTGATTTCGGATCATAATTGTTACCGAATGCTAAAATAAACATGTGATTTACTGCTTTTATACTGTGCAAAAACAAATTTACTGCATTTTTTTCGTAGTTTTTATAATCTATTTTTATTATTGTTTTTAAAGCAAAAACGCAGTAATGCATAATTTTATGCTATTTTAATATAATTTGTTTATATTCACATAAATATCACAAAAGCAGATATTTTCAACAACTAATAATTAGATTTAATAACTATGAAATATAATAAATGAAATGAACTTTACTGCCTTTTACCTAAGTGTGGTAAAAGAGTCTGATGATCTGAGCGTTTGATTCAATTAAAAGAAATACTCACTTCGTCTGCAATACATTTTTGAAGGTATCTTACCTGTAAGAAAAAAGAAAATTCGATTAATATTCTTTTATCGAAAAATCAGGCATGTTATACACACTGTAACTTCTGAAACTCATCCGAAGGTGTAGTTTCTCAAGAGGATACGTATGATATTGGCGCATCATAATGCAATGTTAACCTTTATCAATGTATATTGTGCAGCATGATGCATGGACCTTGTTCAGACCACGCACTAAGTCATCTCAGTCTGACAAAGGATTCGCAAGATTTGCATTGCAAATCTCTGTATTGTCTGAAGGAAGAAAAACAATTATTGTGCTAAGTAGAATATATTAATTGTACCGATACCAGCGCCGTAAAAAATTGCAAATTAGAAATTATTCCTCGGTATGAATTTATGAACTGTGTGTTTTTTTTATTGGACAAAATATGTTCCTTGAGTAAGTAGAGTACATGGATTACTAATCTCATATTATTTTTTCATTGAAATAAACAAAAAGTCTTAAAAACATTTATCCACTACATGACTTTTTGATATCCATATTCTAAATCGGCAACATACATCACCCCAACTCGGTCAGTTTTGCAATTTGAATCTTTTCTTGCAAAATAATTTCATTGGTGAATAGTTAAAAGGACATAGGTAAATTTTTTCGTCTTATACAAAATCAACTTAACGCTTTTTTTCCAACGAAACTAGACGAACTCGATCCTAGCCTCAATTCTGACTTTATTTCGTTCATGTCTACTTCTATAATTCTACTAAATTCTCCGAATAGCCATCCTCTCAACGAATACCTAAAAATGTTGAGGAGTCGAAAAAATTTGCCACAGTATTGCAACATCCACCGAAATCCGTTTCTTAGATAAATCTGTTACGTAGATCATGGATATATGTCAACGGTTCGCTGTGCAAACCATTATTTTAAGGACACAACAGAAAGGCTGTAACTTTTCTGAAATGTCATATCATTTTTTAGTAAATATCCCCTTGTTAGACTAGCTCATATCTGCATGTTACACGCTTTTTCCTACATCTTAAACTGCACAGCCTTCATGGTATGACTGAAGTTCTTGAAAAGCTATGATGAAGCAATCAAAGTGCCTACATGCGAGTATGTGGCAGGTGTCGGTTAATAAACCTATTGGACGTGAAACGTTAATGATGGCTCTATATTAATGAAATGAGGCATTAAATCATATGACGCGTTACTCAAGATCACACAGTGGATTATTCCATGAGCCATATGACGTTTGTATATTACGCATGTTTACATCATCACATGAATCAATGCGTATTGTGCATTTACACATATATTTGCACAGGTAATTTAGTGTGAAAGCGATTTGGTTTTATTGATTAAATACCCATAGTTCGTGTTCGATATCGAGCAATGCAGGTAGTTATTAAATTATA